GCCCCGCCCCCGGGCCTCCCGCAACCAGGCCCCACCCGCGCTCACTTCTCCACGCCCAAGTTTATGTGGCGGTCTTCTAGGTGATGGAGCCAGCCCTGCATGAGCAGCGCCCACTGGATGCCGAAGGCCGCCAGCAGGAAGTTGAAGCCCACGGCACCGAAGCCGTAGCGCTGCAGAAAGGTCATGAGGAAGCCGAAGCCTACGAAGACCATCACGTGCACGTCCTGGAAGCCTGCGGGGAGAGCGCAGCAGGGGCTCAGTGGCCTACCCAACGCCTCGACACAGCCCTGGTATGGGCTGGTGCGGCCTGGGGAGCACCTCTGTGTTCCCTGCCACTGGCCAAGCCCTGGACAGTGCCCCCCAAGCCCCGTCTCCTGCTCTACCATTCCTAGCCCTGGCCCACATCCAAGCCCTTGGGCTGGGTGCAGCAATGAGTGGCTCCTCTGCTGGCAGAACGGCCACTACCCTCACCCTGTCATAAGGGCCTCTGGAGGGGGCTAGGGCTGGGGGAACCCGAGGTGGACCCCCACCTTGGGCCACTGAAACCACTGGGCTATAGCGCTGAGAGATTCAGAAGCACCTCCTTCTGGAGATGATAGCTCCCAGGTTTCACCCTCCTCCCTAAGTGGCTCTGCTGGCTCAGGATGGGAATGGACAGCTTGGCATTTGAATTTGAGGCCAGGTCTAGAGCCCAGACCATCTGGGGTCACCATGTCCTGCCCTCTCCACTACAACCCTGTTTCTTTGCTATGGAGAATCAGTATTCATCCCTGCCACGGAGTGCCTTGACAGGCCAAGCATATCAGTTGCAGCTGGTCACACCTTCCCATCCCACCACCTCCCCCAGTTCCTCCATCTTCTGGGTGGATGACTCTAAGAAAGTTACCTGCAGTACTCAGAACTCGGCACCTTCTTCTGTAATGCTTACCTCAAAGATGTTGCAGGGATTAAATGCAGATGTGTATATAAAGCACCTAGCACAGTGTCTGTCCCATAATAGGTGATCGCATGGACAGGCACAGATTAATTCTGAGTTCTCATCCTACTCTTCTCCAACTCACTATGTGGCCTTGGCTAGCCACTGCTCTTCTTAGCGCCTTAGTTTTCTCAAAGATAAAGCCAAAGTGATGGATTAGCACTGACATTGCATGGTTCTAGACTCCAAGAAAATAACAGAAGGCTAAGAGCTTTGAGAAACAAAGCGAGTTACAGAAATGTAGCACACCGAAAGGAACTGCAGCTGTCACGGGACACAGGGGCCAGATGGAAGGGCTCCCACTGGCCAAATCTGGGACAAGTTGAGCACCAAAGTAATTAAGTGCTGTAATGAATTAAAGCTCTTTTTAAAAGTAACTCATGAGTTCATACTGATAATAAGTAGTTACATACATACATGAGGTAGCAGGGAGGGCTCTTGCTTAGAGCAGGATGCTGGGGGCGCACTGTTAAATGTGGAGAGAGAGCTGTAATTGGAAAAATCATCATTTTCACAGCAAAAATTTGATCAGTCGATGTTAAATGCAGGGGAAATTTTGATTAGGCACAGGACATTTGCATTGTCTTGAGGGGTCTCCCTTTAGACAGTTAAAGTTGCAAGGGAGGAAGAAAACCAACAGTAATTATACAGAGGAGAGACTGGGCAACATACCGACAGAGCAATCAAAATTAGAATTGCCAGTGAGGACAAATGGCCACTGTGTGCCTCCACATGTGACATCTGAGAAGGACATATCACCTATGTGGTATTCCGGCTGACACTGCAGAACCCTATCCAATCATGAGAAAACATCAGACAAACACAAAATGAGGAGCATGCTATTAAAAAGGAGTGAGGCTGTATTCCTGAAAAATATTGTCAGAAAAGACACAAGCCTTTTGAAATGTTCCAGATTAAAGACATAACAAAAGGTATTAAATTCAATACCCAACTCTAGACTGGATCTTATATTTGGTGGGGCTGTGGGCTTGGGGTGGGGGGTGAGATAAAGGTCATTATTAGGTCAATTGGGAAAATCAGATATAAACAGTAGATTAAGTTATTGAGTCAGTGTAAATTATGAAGTTGAAGTAATTACTGTGATTGTGGAAGAGAATATTCCTATTCTTAGGAAATATACTGGACTGTTTAGGGGTAGAAGGGACCATGATGTATGCAACTGACCCTTAAATGGTTCAAGGAGAAAAAAAGTACATGCATCTGTGTTTAGAAAGAGAAAGAGGGAGAGAGGGAGAGAGACAGAGAGAGAGAGAGAGAGAGAGAGAGAGAGAGAGATAGAGACAGACACACACACACACACACACACACACACGCACACACACACACACACACAGAAAGAGAGAATACAAGTAACTGAATCTGAGTTTAAAAGTATATAGTGCTCTTTGTATGATTTCTGTCAGAGCAACTTTTTGTAAATTCAAGATTATTTCCCCCAACAAAAGTTAATTAAAAAAAAAAGACTGGGCCCAGTGGCTCAGCCTGTAATCCCAGCACTTTGGGAGGCTGAGGAGAGTGGATTGCCTGAGCCTGTGGGTTTGAGACCAGCCCGGGCAACTTGGCAAGACTTCGTATCTACAATAAATAAAAAAAAATTAGCCGGGCATGGTAGCACATGCCTGTAGTTCTAGCTACTTGGAAGGCTGAGGCGGAAGGATTGCCAGAGGCCAGCAGGTCAACACTGGGGTGGCGGTGAGCATGCCACTGCACTCCAGCCTGGGTGGTGGAGTGAGACTCCAACTCAAAAAAAAAAAAAAAAGAGAGAGAGACATCAGAACCTTGCTAGGCCTGGCCTGGCCCCACCACCTGCCTCCTCTTTCCTCCTCCTCCCTTTCTACCCTTCCTCATGACTTGGGCTGCTCTGACCTCCCTTCTGTTTCTCAGTCCCACCCTGGGGTCTTTGCCTGTGGTGTTCCCTCCATGTGAGATGCTGTTTCTGAAGAATGGCCAGCAGATCTCAGCAGAATTTCACCTCATCTACAAGGCCTTCCAGAACCACCCAGTTTAAGATGAGTTCTTACCCTTTTTCATAGTTCTTATTATATCTGTAGCTATAAGTTTGTCTATCCTACTAGACCACGAAACTCCAGGAAGGCAGGGCCATGCCTATTTTGCTCACTGCGGCATTCCCAGTTCCTGGAAGAGTGCCAAGGTTGACTCTCAATAAATATCCATGGATGAATGAATGACTATGGCTGTTGCCTCAGTGGCACTCAGATATGCCAACTGAGCAGAAGTCCACAAGTCTCAGATGGGATTTTGCAGCCCCTCTCCAATCTAACAGCTCCTACCCGAAGCAGCCTGGCTAAAGTCATAGGAGCAATGCTTATGCTACAGCTGACTTGACCTTGCCTCATCCATCTCCCCTCCACACTTCCCTGAGGCCTAGGCCAAGGCCACAGACCCCTGGACTAGCAGGCACCTGCAGAGGCTCAGGGGGCCTGGCACACTGAAGGGTAAGGGCATCAGCTGACACAGGAGAGCTGAGTTCCACTCCAGTGGAGTGCTCCGGGCATGCCTTGGAGCTTAGCCTGTGTGCCCAGTTACCATGGACAAACACACCTCGTCTTAGGTTTCTCAGTGTGTGCAGCTGATTTCATGTATTATCGTGTTTCATGGCTTATCTTGCTGCCAACTGTCATGGGAAACTGAGCTAACGTATATGAAGCACCATAAATGGTATGATGGTTAATCTGGGAAGAACTCATGGGTGACAGACTGGAAGAGAGGTGTGAAACAGGGAGGTGACAGATTCAGATGACAATTCCAGAGGCAGGGAGGGCAGTTGGCAGGATGGTGGGATGGCAGGGCTGTTGACAAACACAGGGCATTGGGAAGAGGCTCTGCACGGGAGGGAGGTGCTGGTCTGGTCATGGGAAGTTTGAGATGACTACAAGGGTGAGGGCTGGGCCGGTGGCATGGGAGAAATGGAGGCTGGTTGTGGGGGTGGGAGCTGGGGTCTGAGAATTCACAGGCTGCAAAGAGAGCTGTGAGTTGGAATGTGGGAAGGAGGGAGGGAGAGACAAGCTGAGAACTGGTTATGCCTTGAAGCTGGCAGATACGAGGAGGGAGGAGGGAGGAGCCCTGAGAAAAGGCAGCATTCTAGCAGCAGGGGGCTTTTTGAGGAGTGGGGTGACAGTTGCCTGGTGGCACAGAGGAGCCATACAGGCAGGGCATAGTTGAAGAGGACCCAAGGAGTCACTACTGGGAGGTGTAGGGTGTGGGGAGGTGTCTGCAGTTTCACAGCAGGAGCAGGGAGCCCTCACCTTCACAGCCCTTCCTCCCTGCCTGTCCCTTCTCACCAGTTCCGTGCTTTCCCTGCTCCTTTGGGTACCTTGCCTCTCACTTTGACGCTCTCTCGAGGTGTCTCTTCCTCCTTCAGGTACAGAAACACCAGCTTCTCTCTCCTTGGACACTCCCCTGATTTATTCTCTTGTTCCCTTTCTCTTTATCTTTCAAGTTAGTCCTAATTTAGCACCAAGACGTATCAGTTTATTAATTTCTGTTTCATAAAGTTTGGCGCTACCTAAAACGATTTTAATAGTAATGATAGGCAGTTCCAAATGCTATGACCTTCAGCAAAGGACAGAACCTCTCAGATCCACAGTTTCTCTCTCTTTTTTTCTTTCTTTCTTTTTTTGAGACAGGCTATCACTTTGTCACCCAGGCTGGAATGCAGTGGCATAATCATGGCTCACTGCATCCTCCACCTCCTGGGCTCAGGCAAGCTTTCCACCTCAGCCTCCTGAGTAACTGGGACTACAGGTACGAACCACTATACCTGGCTAATCTTTTGATTTTTTTTTTTTTTTTTTGAGAGATGAGATTTCACTATGTTCCCCAGGCTGTTCTAGAACTTGCTCAAGCAATCCTTCTGCCTTGGTCTCCCAAAGTTCTGGGATTACAGATGTGAGCCACCACGCCCAGCCTGATCCACAGTTTATTGGTGAAATGGGAGCTTGTAACAGTGCTCAGACAGTGCTCACCCCAGAGGTTTTCCGGGCACATTTAATGAGATAACCCAATCAAAGCCCTGGGCAGAAGATGGGCTCTTGAGCAATCGCTCAATCATATTAGCTATTATGTCTCTTTTTCTCTTTCAAGACTGACCTGGGGCTCCACACTGGCTTGGGAGCTTGCTGAGAGTCAGTGGAAGGTGGCACCTCTCCCCAGCCTGGGTGACTCCAGCTGTCCTGCCCAGAACTTGCTTTCTCCACAGGAGGTCCCAGATGGGGCGGGGCTGCACACTAGCCTCCAGCTATGAGAGCTGCCACCAGGGGGCACCATTACACAGCTCGCCCCTTTACTCCCAGCCCCGTTCCCACCCCCTCACCCCAACCTAGCTCCCGCTCCCCTCTGTACAAGAGACCCCGTCCTGCTGGCTGAGTCTAGGAGGACAAAGTTTCCCACACAGACGGGCCAACTGTAACTCTCCTCTTTGCTTGCTGCATCAGCACAGAAAGGGCGGTGCCCTCCAGGAGCCGGTACTGCCTCTTTCCCGTTCCCTAGGGACCGGCCCAGCCTAAACTGTTTTCTTTGAGACCTCCTGGCCAGTCGGTAATTTCCCCAAGACTCGCCATCCACCTCTCCCACACCAGCACTGCACAGTCTACTGAGGAGATGGCTGAGGGTGGCAATGCCACAGAAGTCCCTGGAAAGTAGGTGGGCTTGGCTCCCACCATGCCTGTGCCACTGGCCAGCTGAGAGTGCTGAGCTCCTCTCTGACCTCCATGTCCTCCACCATAAAATGCAAATAATAAACAGCCCTGCCTGACAGAGAAGACAAAACACACTTTGTAATTAGAAGGGGTTGCAAACTGGTATTCAGAGAGACATTCCTCGATCACATCTCCAACAGGATGCCAAGCCTCCACTTACACACCTTCATGGATGGAGCCCTCACTACCTTCTGAGGAAGTTCACTGCCAGCATTTACTGTCCTCTCCCCTTATGCCATGAGTGCTCTACCAGTCACCTGTCATCTTGAATCTTCTTAGAGATTATTTTTTTAAGAGATGGGGGTCTCACTCTGCTGCTCAGGCTGGAGTACAGGAGCACAATCATAGTTCATTGTAACCTCAAACTCCTGGCCTCAAGTGATCCTCCTGCCTTGGCCTCCCAACGTGCTGGATTACAGGCATAAGGGGAGAGGACAGTTAATACTGGCAATGAGCTTCCTCAGAAGGGAGTGAGTGCTCTGTCCATGAAGGAGTGTAAGTGGAGACTTGGCATCCTGTTGGAGATGTAGCCGAGGAATGTCCAGTTATTTATGGAATGTCCTGTACTTTAAATCATATTCCTGCATTACAGATGAGCACACTGAGGACCAGAGAAGTAAGGTAGTTGGCTCACTCTATCTAGGGGTAGACCCAGATCTGTTTAATTCCACAGTTACACTGCCCTCTGCCTTCCTTTATCAAATGGAACTAAATCGGGTGGAGGTTCCTGGGAGCACCAGGCAAGCACTGCTTTAGCCTCATGAAACAGTCCTTCAGGTGTTGAAGTCGGAGCTTCCTCTGCCCTGGGTCATCTCCTGAAATGTGTCCTGCTCCTCCCTTGGCCCTCCCAGGAAGCTTCTGAGGCCCATGCTCTGATGGCTCCCCCTTGGGCAACCTCTCCACAGCCACTGCTCTCAGCCACTCAGGCTCTGGAGCACCGACCCATGAGGAAGCCTCCTGTTTGGCAGCTGCTTCCCGTCCCTCAGGCCTCTGAGGGCACTGCCAGCACGAGTCCTCTGCTGGCTCTGGGCCTGCTGTCTGCTAAGGGGCCCAAGCTCAGGAGCTATCCCCAGGTCACACCAGCTGGGGCTTGGACTCCTCTGAAACTGGAGATGCCCAGCAGGATCAACTAATCCCGTGGGCAGAAATGAGGTCTGTACAGGTGCTGGCGGCCTGGAGCCAAGAACCAAGAAGGTACAAGGGCCTGCCCTCGCCCTAAGCCCCTGGGAATTACCAGACTGCCCAGGAACCGGGGCTGGGGAACCCACATGGGCCAGGAGGAAGGGGAAAGGGGGACACTGGTGGGAGGAGAGTGGTCCAGGAGTGTGTGTTCAGACCTCCATGGCTGCTCCTCTGGCTTCCTGGTTTCCTAGTGAAGTGGCCCTCACAAGAAACTTCTCTCTGGCCCTAGTTTCCTCATCTGTAAAACGGGGGTCATGACAGCACCTCCCTCACAGGGTGGCAGTGGTGATTAAAAGAGAGAATGCAGCCGGGCTCGGTGGCTCAGCCTGTAATCCTGCGCCTTGGGAGGCTGAGGTGAGTGGATTGCCTGAGCCTGCGGGTTTGAGACCCGCCTGGGCAACTTGGTGGGACCGCATCTCTACAATAAATAAAAAATCAGCTGGGTGTGGTAGTGCCTGTAGTTCCAGCTTCTTGGAAGGTTGAGGGGGAAGGATCGCCAGAGCCCAGCAGGTTGAGGCTGCGGTGGCCGGGAGCAGCCACTGCACTCCAGTTTGGGTGACAGAGTGAGACTTCAACTCAAAAAAAAAAAAAAAATAGAGAATGCACACTTGGTTGGAGGGACTGCCACGACTTCCTGCCCTCTCCAAGGGAACATTGAGGCCAAGCTTCTCTCGCTGTACTCCTCTCCTCTGTCACTTCCTGCTGCAATGGCCAAGCACTCCCAGGCCTCACAGGAGAAGCAGCAGGAGAAACTCAAGGCCCTCCATGGTGGCTGACTCTCTCCCCTGATTATTCTCTCCCATCCCTTTCACAAACCCTATTCTTAAGTCACACTGAGCCACTTCCTCCATCCCTGGAACCCCTTCCTGGTGGGTCTTGGCTGCTTGGCATCTCCCTGCTTCATCCTCCACCTGTTCCCAGGAAGCTATCATAGACCTCCTCTGCCAGAGCACCTGACTCCATGGAAGCCCTGGGTGTTGGGCCCCTCTCTGCTCCCAAACAGTCCAGGGCCAGAGACCCAGGATATTCAACTTGTTTGTCCAGAGTGACCATGGTTTGCTGGGAGAGTTATGCCTCCAGGGTTCCGACAAATGACTGCTTGCATATCCCCTTTACTCTCAACAGTATCTTCATCTGGATGACAAATTCTATGATTATGTTATAGATAAGTGCTTGTCGAGTGAATAAATGAAGGTGGGATGTAAAAGTAGGTGGGTGGGTGTGGAGGGAGAGGGGTAGAAGCCGGGGAGGCGTGGGGACTACAACCTACTGGTGAGGCTCTGCAGCTCCAGTGATAGGCTCTTGAGACCCTCTACTGCCTGGAAACACTGGGGACCCTTGAATGTCCATGGGAGGCCTTGCCCCTTCTGCTTTACCAGGGGCCTGACTGTGGGACTGAGTGGTAAACAGGAGCTGGAGGGACAGAGTGGAACAGGCAAGGAGGGGCTCAAGCCTGCCTGCCTCACTAGATGGGTGGGTCCCCACCCAGGAGAGGAAAGGGGGATGGAGTGAAGAGTGGAGTTGGAGCCCGAATCCAGCACCACAACTGTCAAGATCTCTTCTGAAACACAGCCCCAAGTGGAGCCCAGGAGAGGCTGTGGTCTCACTAGCAGAGGGCACATCTTCCTCTGTCACCTCCCTTCTCCAGGACCATACAACTATTAATGTAGCTGTGATAGCCTGAACTTTTTGGCAGCCACTTAGTATGACCGGCACCCACTGAGTCTGCAGCCCTCAAACTCAATCTTTTCTCATGCTGGCTGCCATTCTGAATGACAGTTGTATACTTGGACCTAAGGAAGATGTCATTTCTGGAAGTGGAGAACTCCCTCCCTGTCGCTCAGTGTCCAAGCCATGAAGGGAGCATTGGTAGGTACAGGCAGCTGCTGGACATGAGCTTCCGGGTCCCTTCCCAAACTCCCAGTCCATGACTATGTGAGCACCAACTGTGGAAGCATTGCCATTGGCGGCTAGTGGATGAGGGGGGAGAATCAGAAAGTACCAGGGCATGGAAGGAGTCCTGGACTGGGAGTTCAGAGGTTGGGCAGCCTGGAATGACCCTGGGCCAGTCCTCCCAGCTCCTGAGTCCTAGGGCGTCTGTGTTGAGTGCTCTCGTAGCAGCTGATCCGTTATGAAGTGAGGATTACGTGCCCAGCACTGTGCCAGAGCTTTCCATGAACCGTCTCTGATAGTCTTACCCCATCCCTGTAAGGCAGGGCTTATTATCCTTATTCAAGAGATGAGGAAATTGAGATTTAGCAAGGCTGACATTAGCCTAAGGCCACCTACCTGTTTAACGGCAGAACCATGAAAGGGAGGCCTGCGATGGCAGGGTCATGCTCCTAACCACAGCACTACAGATACCAGAACATTTGTGAGTGCTTGTTCTCCCTCTCCAAATCAAAAAGAGTGGGTGTCAGCCTCCTGGTCCCCCACGGGTTCCACACACCTCTGCCCGCAGCAGGGCTGGCAGGCCACTGAGCTATTCCTGCCGCCCTTGACATCCGACCTACCCCCTTATGAGCACAACTGGACAAGGGAGTTCGGTCACCCACTAGTGGTGACCGAGGGGGGGCGGGTCTTCTGAGGACACCAAGCAGGACTCTGACGGGGCTTGGAGGTCTCTGATGGCTGGGGTTGGGGGGGGGATCAGATAAAACGCTCACTCTGGTGAGTTTTCCCTCCCAGTTTTTCACAGAGAAAAGGAGTTTGTGCACATCTGATCATCACCCAAGCGTGATCCCAGAGGCTGGCGAGCACCCCGTGGGATCCTGCGCCGGGGCAGGGAACCTTGGGGCAGGCCCGGGCCCTCCCCCCAGGCAGGGCCCTCGGCCAGGTGGGGGCCTGGAGCCGAGGTGCCTCAGTAGGCCTGCAGGAGGCGGGACTTACTGGGGTAGCGATAGTAGAATTCGTTCTCCAGGTCGCTGGAGACGTTCCCGTGCCTCTTCCCTGCCCACCAGTGGGCGTCGGCCTCGAAGTCGTAGCGCGCGAACACGCCGAAGAGAACCACCATGGCCACCTGCAGGAGCAGGCAGGCCAGCGGCAAGCGCCAGCGGAGGTTGGTGTTCCAGGCCATGCCGCGGCGCTGGCGGGCGGGCAGCGGGAGGCTCGGGCAGCGGGAGGCTCGGGCAGCGGGAGGCTCGGGCGCTCGGGCCCGGGCTTATGAGGCCCGGGCTT